GTACCGCTCCAAATACCACTGGATGCATAAACTACTGCAATGACCAACATGCCAGCTGGAACCCATCATGCCCTGAATTTGCTTGACATTGCAAACTCATCAATAAAAAATACTCTATGCCCTACTTCCCAATGGAACTCTCCTGGACACACGTCAACCAGCCTCAACATTCTCTCCCACTAACATACCCCAAACTCGACACACTCAATCCCCCCAACATGCTACCTCCCAGCAAACTACCATTCTGTTCCAACCTCGACCCCACCCTCCAAATCAACTAAGATCCTCACAATGTCCTTAGACTCCAGCCCTCATAGAACTTATTAATTGTTTCTCTTCTTCTTCTTCTCCATCCATAAACACTAACACTACTAACCTATCTACTTTCCTCCCTAGCAGCCTACCTTCCAATCTATCTAATGTCTGAACACCACAATGAACCTACCATCCGACTATGTATATGGCAACAGAACCTCAATAACTCCATGGTCACCCAAGTGTCCCTCCTCAACAACCCAAATGCCTCCAAATAGGACATCATCCTCATCCAAGAACCTCACATAAACTTTCTCCACAACATCTCAGCAAACCATCACTGGCATGTCATCTATCCTACTCAGCATTACACCCACCTTCAACAATGGACCTGCACTATAACCCTTATCAGTACTCATTTGGACACCAACCTTTGGAAACAGATCCTGCTACCACCTTCCGACATCACTCTCCTTCAATTATCTGGCCCTTATGGCAAATGCACAATCTTTAATATTTATAATAACTGTCAATTCCAATCAACGTTAGAAACCCTAGACACATTCATTGAAGGCAACATCACAACTCTCCACCCCACCACCAATGATCACATGCTCTGGATGGAAGACTTTAATAGGCACCATCCAATGTGGGAGGAAATGTGCAACCACCACCTATATAATTATACTCACATTAAACCTCTTATTGATCTTATTGCTGACTTCGGCATGATACAACTCCTTCCAGGTGACCTCCCCACACTTCAATCCTCCAGCACTGGCAACTGGATATATCCCGACAATGTCTTTGGTATGGAACAAATTATTGATGTAGTCATCACATGCACTACCACACCAGAACTCAGAGGTTCAAAGACAGACCATGTCCCCATACATTTAATACTAGAATTAGAAATGCCTTGAACTGACACAGAACTGCAGTGCAATTGGAGAGAAGTAAACTGGGAACAATTCAATGAGCATCTTACTAATCTTCTCTCTCCTTATCCTCCTCAACCACTAGCCACTAATGATGAATTTCAGATCGCAGCATGACACATAACTGATGCCATCACCTCCACCATCACAGCAAAAGTACCACTCTCAAAGCCTTGCCTACACTCCAAGAGGTGGTGGACGCAGGAACTCACCATCATGCGCAAGAATGTCAACCGCCTCAGCCAGCTAGCCTACAAGATGAGGGCACTGCCGCTTCACAAATGCCACAATGAACTGAAGACTCTCAAGAATTAATACACTGGCTGCATCACATTCACAAAGCAACAACACTGGACAGACTGGCTCGAAGACCTGGAAGGCAAGAATATCTGGACTACCAATTGTCATGTCATGTCTGACTACAAGGATGGAGGTAAAACACGTGTTCTCACTCTTACTGTCAAGCGACAGGACAGCTCATCCATTGAAGCCTCTACTAATCATGAGAAAAGTCTACTAATTGCCGAAGCCTTCTTTCCACCTTCTCCTGCTACTAACCATATACCCCCAGACTGTATATACCCAGAACCTATTGTGCCGCACACTCCTTTCACCATGATCCAAATCTATCAAGCTATTGCTAATTTAAGTAGCTACAAAGCGCCAGAATCCAACAGAATCTGTAATATAGTATTCAAGTGATGTTTGCTCACTCTAGTCCTGCACCTCGTCCACCTCTTCAACACTGTCTTTACCCACAAAACCTATTATGAACCATGGTGCCAATTCATGACTGTAGTCCTCCGCAAGCCCAGAAAACCCAGCTATGCAGCCCCTAAAGCCTACAGACCCATCGCCCTCCTCAACACTACCTGTAAACTCCTAACAGCGGTAGTCGCCAAGCAACTAATCTTTATTCTAGAACATCATCAACTACTACCAAACACTCACTTCAGAGGTAGACCTGGCCGCTCAAGTACCGACTCCCTGCACCTCTTAGAAGCTACCATCAAAGATGCCTGGCAATCCCACTGAGTGGCCTCTGTCTTATTCCTGAATCAAGGGGGCATTCCCTAATGCCATCACTCATCAGCTCCTTCATAACATGCATATGATATGTATCCCCGGCGAATTGGTAGACTTTACCGAGTGGATTCTGACGGGTAGATTCATGCAACTCCATTTCGATAGATATACTTCAGAGTGTATCCCAATCATGAATGGTATAGGACAGGGCGACCCCCTGTCCATGATCCTATATATAGAAGTCACACAGCCCAGAATAGGAAGAGCATCCCTCAAGGAACTGACTCTGGCATTCATTGACGATATGGCCTTCATTGTGATAGCAGATGACTTTGAGACCATACACACCATGCTCACTGACATGCTAGATTGCCCCAGCGGCGGCTTTGAATGGTCACACCTTCACAACTCCCACTTTGAAACTAACAAATTCGCACTAATGGATTTCTCTATGAATAGACACAAGCCCCACCCTCTCATGATCATCCAAGGCTTGACCATACTCCCATCGGCCACTCATCGCTTCCTTGGTGTCATCCTAGACCAGGAACTCTGATGGTCTATCCAGGTGGATAATACTGTGGCCAAAGGCACAGTGTATGTCTATCAGATATGTCGCCTCTCCATGATGGCCAAAGGAATACTGCTACACCTCATGCAGCAGCTTTATCAAGCTGTTGCAATCCCAAAGATGACCTATGCTGTGGACTTGTGGTTCATGCCTGCCTTCAGAGAACAATCTGACATCCTTTAGAGAGGCTCAATAGGAGTAGCCAAAAGACTAACCTCCATCCAGAGAATCACCACCCTGGCCATGACCAGTGTGACACTCGGATTCTCCCTGGGTTGCAAATGATAGTTTTTACATAGTATCTCCTTTTGACACTTTCCTTAGATTAGGTTCGCAGTTTTGCTGCTTACATAATCATCTTTCACCTTTACCTAGGACTCTACAGTCATTACCTAGTTTCCTCTGTTTCCAGTTCTTGATCGCTCCCCATTAAATTGGGTTATTTAGTAGCATTCCCTAGTTGTAGCTTTCCTAGTTGTAGCTTCTTCAGCTCACTATTTAGCTCCTGGAACTCAGTTTTCTGTCATTGGCTTGGAGTGCCTCTTTCTCTCACTCTCCTTATTTTCCCTCTCTCTTGAGCCTGAGCCTAGACAGAGATTCTCTTGGGTCGAACACTGTCTACTCTGACATCGCAGCTAGGCATAGCTAGACCCAACATTGTCCTTTCCACTCAGCAGGACTGTTGTCACCACACCGGAGCCATGAGCACCTCAGCGGGAGATGTACTTGAAGCCCATGCTAATATCCTCCCCATATCCCTCGCCCTTCCCAATATCTGTCACAGAGCCATTGTATGCCTCATTGCTCACCCAGCAACCCACCCATTATATCATCCAGTTCAATGTGTTGCTAAGCACTATGTATCATCCCATCGTTCTTTGCTACATAAACTCACTCACCTCTTTTCTATTATCCCAGATGACATCGAGACCCTTATCCCCACATGATGCCACCCCTCCATGAAAAACCCCTTCAAGACCAAACATTGCAATGACATAGGAGGAAGCGGCCACAGCACATGGTCACCTAACTAAAACAATCCAAGTCTACACTGATGGCTTAGGCCACAATGACAAAATTGGAGCAGCCACAATATTATTCCATGCAGAAGCTTCACCTTGTGTCCTACAATATTACCTAGGCACGAAGGATGAACACACCATTGTAGCACTCGAGCTCACGCTAGGCTTGTATTCACTTATTTCCCACTACATGTCCAATGCCTGTCATGCACTAACCACTTCCCGATGTAACCCAATGCTAACTCACTCAATCCAACACAAACCTGATGTAACCTGACACTTTGACTAGCAGACCCGATGTTTTGGCCACATCAGCTGACCTGAAATCCTGTGCACTTGTCCTATCTGTGTCCTGTTGTAGGACTTGGAGTCCTTGTAGCCTCATAGAGGCTATTTTTGCAGTATCCCTCAGGTCCTCACGCAGTGTGCACTATCACTAACATGGTGCACATCTTTTCTATTGTCAGCCGACGGCCACAGTTCACGTGTGTGCATCGGCTTGCATTGGCTTTTCTTCAGTTCCATTGCGCATCCTTCCTCTGTCCTACCCATGTCCTCCGCTTGTCCATTGGTACATATTTTATCTTGTTTGCATTAGACTGACTATATTTCCGAAGCTATATTGCTTATGTTCTCATTACTTGCATTGTGGACCCTTAATACATGTTACCACTATCTACTTGGCCCCGAACAGTGCTTCACACACTATCATATATACTTAGTACTTGAGACTTTTCATGTATCTTTTTTTTCCCCTGACCGAAATTATCATCTGTTTTCACACAAACACTCAGACTAAAAATACAAATCTTCGGCCTACTACTGCACGCGCTTTGCTAATGGCTGCACTAACAGCCGTAGTTGTAGTATTAGACCTAATATAGATGGTAGTTGCCACTTTTGGAATAGACACTTTCGACGGCAACTACCAACTGCACATTTTGACCAACGATGCTGGCAAGTACCGCTCATGGCTAAGGCCCTCCTTCTAGGCATCCCATCATCCACTGAAATGTCCGCCCCCAATATTCCTGGTATATACATATATAATACATATAGATATATTGATATATATATACTATACATACATGCACATATATATCATATCTGGTGGGACTGATCACAATCGGTCAATACTTACCTTCGTTCTCCACTCCCTATACTCGACTCTCTCTCAATATTTCACGGATGGAGTAAGTTGATTTAATTCTGGTGGTTTTTACTGATAACTTTATCTATAGAACAAGCAATCCGGCACCAGACGACATGGCCCCACCTGTAGTGGCATTGTCCAGCCCATTGCCCGACCCAGATGCAACACCCACACCAGCTCCTGAACCAAACACTGATGATCCCAATGCCTACATAGAAAAGTTGTTTCGTAACTGGGCGAAAAACTTGCGCCTGGCGTTTCTCAACAGCCACTTGTCTACTTACCGCGAGCGCGTCAATCAAGGAAGGTTACGAGCCAAGGACTATGCACACGAGGTCATGCAAGAATACTTCAAGCAGTATCATTGGAAGTTGAAGGTATCAGATGAGCCCTTGGAACACGGTCCATTGCAAATGGAGCCGGAGGAGTCGCTTTCCCCGGTCGAACTCGCACAAAAATCGCAAAAGGTTCTTGCGATGCAAAAGGTAAGCATTAATACATGTATTTATCTATAGACTTCTTAACCCTCAAGTAGGCGATCACGAGCTGGCTGGATTATTGTGCCAAGTCCCCAAAGAAGTTGTTCGTCCACCGCGGCAAGCCGGAGAACAATGAGTGGACCCGGCTCCTCAGCCAACTTTCTGGTGTCTGACGACACAAACCGAAGGCCTTGCAAGCACACCAGCGGTGGTCCAAAGACCATTTTGAGACCGAGGTCAAGTCTCGTTTTCTCAAGAAGTGGCGCAAGGCCAGGCTGCCTAAGGAGAAGATGGCAGCCTTTCGCGACCAGATCACATGCAAACGCTTCAAAAAGCTGTCCAAAGAAGAGCAGAGGGATTGGAGGGATAAAGCGCAAGCAGAGGGTAAAGCAGCAGTCAAAGAGTGGAACGACCGGCTCGAAGCACCTCTGTCCACATCTCCTCTCGATAGACAAGTGTAAGTGTTCGAATCTATTCATTTGTATCTGTATTGAAGACTAAACTAGGGCCCTGGATAACTTGGCAACTTTTGCTGGACCGATTCTTTCTGGTATGTCTGAAACTCTCGGCATGCATGTATCCCTTTTGGTTGGTGGTCCCGAACCTCGGAAGCAGGGGAAGATCACTGTCGTCAGGTATGTTTGTCGATATTGTTCTAACACAGAACTAATGTCACACTGGAAGCATGCACGAGGGCGTTGATCTGAATTTGAAACCATGCAATTGGCAGACCCAAGATAAAGCAAAATTTAAGATGGTCACAAAGCATTTTCAAGACTACCTATCGCATGCATATAGTGTGTTTTTAAAAAAAAAATTCTATCATCTAACTATATGCTAAACATCGTCAGGTAAACAGGATTGTGATTCTCGTCGCCTCCTGGACGATTTAAACAACCTGTTCACCATTACGGATGAAGGCGATCAATCTGATGCTCAGGAGGATCGGGAAGATCATCAAGCGAATAAACCGACAAAGGCCAAATATAGATCACACCAAACGAAATCAAAGCAGAAAGGTACCAAAAGGGCTCGTACTTCTCGACGCAAGCCTTCCAAACCTTCTGAGATGGACAAATCATCATCAGAATCATCTTCCACATCCTCCAGCTCGTCTTCGTCTTCCTCATCTTCAGGTTCCGCTTCATCAAGCTCTACAGACACGGACAGTGAAGAAGAACATCATCGTTCTAACAAGGTACTACCATTTTCACCGCCAAAAGGACATTATGGTGTTACCTACTTCAATCCACACCACAAAGCGGCAGCTCTCGCACGACTCAACGTAAGGCGAAGCGATTGCACGTCTGAAGTGTCGGCTCGTGCATCTGAGATGCTGGATGACACAGAAGAAATTGACCAGCTTGACGAGAGCACTGCTGACACCCCCATTGACGATGCCGAGATAAGCACCGATCGTCCTCCTGTTCCACCTGGTAAATGTGTTATTTAATATGTTATACAAGCGTACTAAATCGATATCTTCTTAGCAATCACATCTACCGTTATCGTTGAGCCACCTCTTGACAATATCATCGCCCGCCCAACTTTCAACGACAATACAATTGATCCGCGTCTCAGAGAAGACTCTGGGATGGCTGTTGATCAACCACCTGCTCCACCTGGTAAGTATCGGTGCTCAGTATGCTGACGTATTAACATTATTTTACCACAACAGCCGAGATTCTTGGACAGGGTCTTCGCGAGCCTGTTGATGATCACATTATAGATGAGACGCCCTCTGCTGAACGGGACATAGAAGGGGCTGTGGACGATCATGACACCACAACTTGGGACAAGCACACGGTCAACTCAAATAAGACTGCAAACGGTACATAATTGATGCTTCTGTTGTGCGCCACGATCAGTCATTCAGGTTTATGTACAGCCTCTCATGATGGCAACATATCCCTTAGCCTGCCTGCACTCCCACCCAGCCCACCGTGGTTCAACAATCTGTTCCAACAGTTGATGAATCCCGCCCCGGCCTCTCCTCGTGTGATCCAGTTGTTTGAAAAGCTGGTATGCCTTGAGGATGCGTCAGGCTTTGCGAACGAGAAGGCTGCCTTGGGATGCGAACATTGTCCAGTCGAAGTCCACTGGTGGATTTCCCGTGGACGTAAAGGGAAACCAACCATACCTGATCTCAATGCATTCATGTTGCAATGGTGGTCCTGGTGGATCACACTTCAACCGGAGTGGAGAAAATGTCAGGCCCCGACACTTATGACAAGTGCAATTCTCCCTCGCACAGATGACGGCAACTGGGACACCCTCAACAAACCAGGTGCAAATGGCATGCTCTCGGTTGTAGCTACCTTGAAATGGTGGGCAGATGGTGCAGATGGTAAAGGGTACAAAGATTCACGATGGGAAGATGCTGCTGACGATGTCGTGTGGGTTTTGGATCGGCTCATAGCAACTCGTTCTATGTCAAAGTCTGTGGCTTCCAGTGGTAGCAAGAAACAGGGTCGCTCTGATACTCTGGCAAATGCATCATCATCGAAGAGGACGTGTAACTGGCCATAATAGACTTATCGATTGATGGCTCGCTAGGCTAGACATCGAGTTCATGCTCGCTTAGATACACATTACGTTGAATTACTTTTGTATCTCACATCAAGTCAATGCAACACGCAATTCTTAGATCTAATTTTCTTCGGTGCTCGCTGTTTAGATCATGGCAATAAGTGTATTGTATATTCTAAAAAAACAAACAAGTGGCTAGACTCCAGGAGCCTCCAGTCCCAAGGTCTTCTGGTACATCGTTTCCCCAAGTAAATAAGCCTCGTCGAGGTCACCCCAAACGGCTAGTCTGTGAAGATCCTCCAGCATAGCTACCAGATGTCCAATGAATCTGGAAACCTCGTCAGCAGCACGCCATTCATCACATACACCACACATGTCAAAAATTTTATCCTGCCCCTGCTGTGCCCACAACAAATATGGCTCAACGAGCTTGAGCCCATCCCAGAATATCCCAATGTCCCCGGCAACACTGGTGCGTAACGACATAGCGTATTTGCAGAGGATGCCCTCGACATATGTTGTAGGTATCCCGGAAGGAACAAGTGCCAGGACTTTGTTCTTTGCATCATGTATGAGCCCCAGACAATCAGACAAAGTGATACTACAGTAGATCGTCAAGGACACAATTTAATTATCATTGAAAAAAAAAGTACATTGCCTCGAAGTCAACCTCATCATCCGATAGGTCGTTCATGTTAGACTCGGCTGTGACAGAAGGAGTGTTGTTCGTGCGACAGAGACAATGTCTCAATAAAATGGCATCTCTGTGCCTAAATACTTCAGTTGCAGGGAGAGAGCCAATAATAACAACTAAACTTACCTTTCATAGTATCTTTTGCGTTTCTCGCGCGCAGCCTGCTGTTTGGCTTCAACAGTATGGTGAATAGTGAGGCGAACCATGAGAAAAGATCATAGTGTGAGGAACCGAAAGCAGCACCTTTATATAGTGAATTTGATTACCTTAAATCGATGATCTGCGATGAGGAGTAATGTACGTAGTATGCGTGAACTGAATGTAAACGCAAAGTCAATCAATCATTAATGGAAACAATGAATCATATCTCACTGAAGATGTCCGCTTCAAAGCCTCAAGTCCATGTCGTTTGATAATGGGACAGAGGGTAATAGCATTGAGCTACATAGGCCTGTGTGTCAGCAATCTTGATTTGATGGTAGTAGGACCATAACTCAGCGAGTCTAAGGCTCAGGATGCGAATTCAATCATGCGATCGCACTGACGATTGCTCAAATCAACGAACTACTATAAATTAATGACTCAGAGCTACATACCAGTCCAATCTTGATGATTTGATGGTGGGACTGCTAACTTGACCCATGTTTTAGCGATCTTGATTGGACGGTAGGACCATAACCTGGTGAAGCATCCGGCAAGTCGACTGTCCAGAGGCAAAAGTTAGTGCGTGAGTCTGATCGTGCGTTCACAACACACAGTTGCTCATAGGCACATCAACAAACTAACCAGTGTCAGTTAATGAAGGTACATGGCAAGGAACATTGATATATTGTTCATTTTTACGAGGACTGAGTTAACACAAGCCATGCATATGTCTTCAACGCAACTTCATTGATTATGTAAACAACTACTTAGTAAGTACATTCACAACGCACAGTATTGGACTCAGAGCGAGCTCATCAAATCAATAACATACTCAGACCAATGTCAAGCACTGTCTGCAGATAACAAAGGTTTCAAGTTATTGTTTATTTTCTGGTGAACGAGCACTAACACACAACATCATAGACACAACGCAGAAGTTTCATTATGTAAGCGAGAAATACAAAGTGTAACTAACTGAGTCTCGACGCTAGTGACAAACACTGAATTTGAAGGAACAGGACATTCAACAAATGTTTCGATATATTTGGTAAGATTTGACATACATGATCACTCATCTGTGGCGGAGTCTTCTGTCAAATCAACATTTGTCATGGTGTTAGTGCTTTCAGTGGCTGCGGCTACAGCTGCCTCATATGCTTGAAGTCGTGCATTGTAATCCTGTTCTGCTTCCTCCATAATAACTTGACGAATCATGGCACGGAAAGATTCATTTCTCGCTGGATGATTGAGCAATAACTCTACAGTGGCGGCTGCTACAAGCTTAACTAATAGATGGGTGAGTGCTGGATTCTGTCAGTGCTGAATTGATCTCACCACAGCAGTCTGGCATGCAAACTTGAGCCACTCGATGACCGCATGGACCACAGACACTTTGAAGTTCAATATCTGTGTGTCCACACTGGAAGACATCCCCAGTGTTGTGCGGAGTATTGCTGTCAGGCAAGGGCAGAGGTATAGGACTGCTGGACGCCTCAGGTGAGGGTGGAGGCATATGAGCGATGGACATCTCAGGCAAGGGTGGGGGCATAGTAGCGGTAGACATGTCTGAAGGTTTGGGTTAAATGTCAAATTTTCAACTATAGACTTTAAAATATTTCAACAGGTCTCGGTGCATATATGCAAGGAACTGAATGAGCGATGAATCGACCAGGTATTTCCTGTTATATTCATGTATCTACTAACGTGATCATCTAACAGCTTCTTTTGTGCATGCTTCTTTCTTGAAGCACTATGACTCGAGGGAGGGAGGAATTCGTTCACGGGAGCAGGCATATACTGGTAAGTTCTAGTATCATTTTCCCCTCAAACGAGCCTTACTGATGTCAAAGAAAAGAAAATATGTGGCCTACCGCAACGAGTCTGATTGAGACAAAGATACGACAACAGCCTATGCCAGGATGGTAGCAGTATCAAACGGTGGTCGCAGGCAAGTTATTGTACCTTGTTCCCCAACAAAAGTGAGGGCGAAAAATCTGCTGGAAGACCAAGCTGGGGCCCTGCAAACAGACAATTGGGAGCCAACACTTGACAATGATTTGGTGTTCGACAATGAGGTCGAATCCCCACCGGTCAAGTCCCGACCCATCACAGTAGCCAATACACTAGCGAAACATTATACGAACTCGGTGCGATTCCAATAGATTTTCTTTTCTAACACTCAACTCTTTATAGGATGCACCTTTACATGAATGGATGGGCATCAGTGGGCGTACCAGATTCCGTGAAGAATATCTTCTCGAAGAGCTATGTCTGGAGGGCCGTTGTAGCTTGGCAACTATGCTGTGCTCATGCAGTGACATTAATAGTCACATCGTGCAAGAATGACTGTATCACTGAAGGTGAGGAATCTTGACTATAGGTGAAACGCTAAAGCTAACGGGGGTTCTACAGTAAGACCAGGATACGAGAATACGACTCGACCCAAAGGACAGCTACTGAGAGAAGTTCCTCTTTAATGTAATGGAGGGAGTCTTCGCCAACTAGACGGGTGGTAACAGGCGCGCGAAGGCGCGAGAAGATAACGCGCGCAAAGGCGCGAGAAGATAACGCGCGCGTAGGCGCGAGTAAGCAAATGCGAAGGCGCGCGAAGGGCGCGCGCGAGCGAAAGATGCGAGGGGCGCGCGCGTATACGGAAGCGTGCTTTTGAGCGATGGGGGAGAGTGTTCAAGTATAACAGATGCGCGAGCGATGGTAGAATAGTGAAGTATAATCGGATTTCAAGTACTAAGGTGCACTTATACAATTTGCAGTATACTCAGATAAGGGAGAAGGGAAGGAAGTAAGTTAAAAGGAACTTTCCCTCTATTTAAGAAGGGAGATTACGCTATGCGGTGCGCTTCCGAGCGTGGTACCGAACCGAGTAACCATATCAACTCTAAATATATTCTAAAGCCTATGATAGACTTTCTGTATGTAAGCGCGGAGATCGGACCGAAGGTACGTCAATTCAGTGAAAGGGATAAGAATAACGCACCAGTAAATCAGCGAGGACATAGGACGGACGGACGGACAAGGGTACGAAGGCCTAAGGGGAGGCGCACGAGCGCGCGCGAAAGGCGCGAGTGCGTGTAAGGCGCGCGAACGAGGCGCGTACGTAGGGCGCGCGCGTGAGAGCGCGTATGACTGATCCTTCGGATAAGAGCTGGAACGTGTAGGGAATTATGTGGGTAATAGGGCCGTATATTCCGCATTGAGAGGCGCGAGTCTCTACATCTCCTGGGGACTTACATTCTGAGTGTCCCCACTCAGCGCTATAACGCGGGATTTTGGACTTGAAGAAGTGGTGATAGACAGGGGTCATGTGATCGCGAGAGTAGGGCCATTCCTTTGATGATCGCGAGCATCGCTGATCTAATCGATGGAAGTATTGATAAGAGATGGTTGCGTTCTCGCGATCTCTTGTCTCCCTTCTTATCAATACCATCATGCCTCCTTTCACTGCCGCTATGCTGAACGCCACCCCCTCTCCAGAACCTGAGCCTGTGGCGCAAGGTCACCCTGAGGATGCGCCTATGGCTGACGCTAGCGCTGAATCCAATACCGATCGTCTCCTCAGCGCCTGGGCCTCTTCCTTGGTGTCATTGGAAGCGTGTGTCATGGCGGCGCCTGATCTCAAGCCGGAGCTCCTCGAGGATCAAGAGATGTGGATGCGCGAGTGGCATTCTGTGCTCGTGAGTGTGCCTTACATGTCCCGCTTTGTGTCATCTGACCATCCTAGGCAACCTTGAACGGCTGTTCTGAGCGCGCGGGTGTACTGGGCGTGGAGTTGGATATGGACGAAAAGGGCGCGGAGTTCCTGAAGCAGGGGCGCAAGGGTTGTAAAGAGATTGAGGCGCTGGTGAAGGGATGGAAGGCGAAGGCGATTGAGACTGTTCCAGAGGCGCCTCCCAAGCGTGCTGCGCGCGCCACTGATGCTACCGGTGCTGAGGCGCGCGCCACTGATGCGTCTGGTACAGATGTGGCCGAACAGGTGCGTTCCTCTATGTCTCATTGTTGCGCTACTCTATTGATGCATTCTGTTGTATTAGCGCAAGGTTGGGCGTATGTCTGTCGTCAAAGCGCCGCGTTGCACCAGCTGCGCCAACAAGGATCAGGACTGCGGAGGCGCGCCTGGCAGGCGGTGCCCTCCTTGTGATGTTTCGAAGCGCGCGTGTTCCTTCTGTAAGTTGCGCCTTGGGAATATTTGTTGGCGCACTACTAACGCCTTTGATTAGCTAAGCGCAAGACTTCAGACGGACCTAAGGTGCGTCCGCGCAAGCCGATGCCTAAGCGCCCCATGGCTGTTGAGTCTGCAAAGGAGACCGCTTCCTCTATTGCGGTTGAAGAAGGAGAAGGGTCTGAAGGGTCTGGCATGGATGTGATGATTGTTGATGAGCGCACTGTGCAGGATAAGGTCGTGCGCGCCTCGCGCGATGTCCCTGTGCGCGCCGTTGGTCCTTTGGCGTCTGGCTCTGCGCCTAAGGGAAAAGGCAAGTTCAAGGGACCAGAGGAGGAGTTGAAAGAAGCTCAGGCTGAGACCGCGCGCCTGAGGGAGGAAAATGCGCTTATGCGCGCGTCCGCTTTGAAGATGCGCCAGTATGCGCGCGCTCAGCAGGCGGACCTCCTGGCGCTGTCCAACAAACTTTTTTCTATGTCCCAAGACTGGTCTGACTTTGAGGAGCGCGTCAATGCCTCTCTTAACTAGATGCTTTTGTGTTTGTTTTCCTGGGCGCCAATGCGCCTGTGCAATAGATCCAGTTTGTCTTGCGTCCCATGTCCATGTCCATGTCCTCGTCTGATTTACCGGGCTATGAATTAAAATTATAAGTATGTAAGTAAGGCGCGAGCGCGAAACAAGATCAAGGTAATGCGATAGACTTTACTAGGGTTTCTGCGGGGGTGCGCGCCCGTCTTGTCTTCTTCGCGCGTCTTTCATCGTCTATTCCTGCTATATTGCGCCTCGCGCATACGGGGTGGTGGCGCGCGATTTCTAAGGAAAAGTAAAAGTGCGCGGCGCGGCGCGCGCGTTAGAAGGTGAAGGTCTATGGGTGAGACTATGCGCGCGCTATACAAGTAAGGTAGTTAGTAGTATGTACTTGCGGAATATTAGTATTTTTGTGTTCTGTCGTCCTATTTTAGAGTCTGTGGGGATTATGTGCAGGCAATGCGCGTTATATGAGACAAATGATAGAAACTGATATCACCGGACGAAACCCGGGGTAAAACTGAGAGTATGTACTTAATGGAATGTTTTTGTTTTTGTTCTTGTTTTTATTTTGGTGTTTTTGTTTTTTATTTTTCTGAGGAATGTGCAGGGATGCGGATATAATTGGGCGATGTGCGGAATGGGGGGAATTGTCGCGCGCGCTAATCATCTTGCGCGTGCTCGGGCTCGTCTTCTTCGGGTTCTATGGATTCATAAGCTTCTAGATCGTCGATGCTCTCGTCGTCCACTCCAGTCATTTGGGTTACCGACACGCGCTCCCCGCTACGTGGATAATAAGGGATGACGCGGAACGCAGCGAACCGGAGTTTTGAGATCGCGCCGTCCAACTCGGCCAGCATATATGAGCCTCCCTTCGTGCGGCGCACTACGATCATAGGTCCCAAATAGCGCGGCTTCGTCTTCTTGCTTAATTCGTATTCGACCTTCGAGTTGCGCACCAATACCAAGGTGCCGGGTTCGAAGTCGTGCGACTTGATAGACGCGCGGAAGCGTTTCTCGAAATCGCGTATCGACTTGAAACGCGCCGCGACAACTTTATCTCTGATTGCGTTAATATCTTCCATGCGTTTCTGAAGTTGGCGCGCGCGCCATGCTATAAGGTCAGTAGTGGTGAACGCGCCTCGGCTCGGCAAGGGCGCGAGGAATGTCGCTTCAGCGAGATCAAAGGGAAATATTGGCTCGACGCCGTGCATCATGAAATAGGGCGATAAACCCGTCGCTTTGTGAATGGTGACGCGCTCTGCCCAGAACACTGAATGGACTACCTGATACCAGCGTGACTCATCTCCGTCGCAGCTTTTAATGATGGCCTCCCGGACATCGCGGTGTCGTCGTTCGACTATACCGTTTGCCTGAGAATTATATGGCGAGATGCGGATTGGGTGTATTTTATATTTGCGCGCGAGTTCGTCTACTGCGAGCCTGTATGCGGGCGCGTTGTCCGTTACTATTTCTGTGATCGGACCCCACCTACACAAGAGCTCTTCGAAAATAAATGCGGTTAGCGCGTGAGTATTTTCTTTGCGCAGCATGCGCCATTCAGGGTACGATGTTAGTGCGCATCGCGCTTGCACAAGGTATTCAAACCCTCCCGCTCTGGGCATCTTCATCGTGTCGATGTGCGCTTTGCGGAATAGGCCACCTGGCATTGGCACGATTGGAGGAATATGCAATTTGCGCGTTTGGCGCACTTGGCATTCATGACATGTCCGCGCATACCATTTGATGTCTTCCCTGATGTGCGGCCACCAAAAGCGCAGCCGTAGGCGCGCGCTGACGGTATAAGTACCCTTGTGCCCTAAATCGTCATGCGCCTCCTTGAGAACTCGATAGCGTTT